GTTGGACTCATGTTCCTGTAGCTACTCAAGAGTTTTTATCTTTAACTGGGTTCTTGCTGCTCAGATGAACGTCCCGGTCGTCTTTATGACTGATGATGATGGTTTTCCTGTTGGTTGTTGGTCCATCGCAGCGTTAGAACAACGTTAACAGAATAACTGTGGCTGCTGAGGTGGAAAACATCATCAGAACTTCATCTTCAGGCTCCTCTGACATGTTGGTCGTGTTGTGCAGTGAAATGTTGAGTTTGTTTGAAACGTAAGCGACGCTCTTTGTCGTCAGGTTGTGTCTGTTTGGCCTTCTGGTGTTTATTTGTTCTCGTTCAGTTGTTGTTGTGTCTCTTTATGGTGGATTTTTGTCTGTTTGAGGTCGTTGTGAGTTTCTTTGTGGTAGTTTTTTGTCTTTTCAGGGCAGTTTTGTGTCTTTTTGCAGTTTTGTGTCTTCACGCTGAGTTAAACTCTCATTTAAGAAGTGTGCATCAACCTTTTGACTGGTCATGAATCCAATTTCCAAGTTCAAACCTAATTAAGGAACGACGTTGATGTGATGAATGAGGAGAATTAATAAGATCTGAAACCAACCCAGCTGTGAATCTTCAGGTTTCATTAGATTATAACTCATATTTATTGTGTTCAGTTTGTTGACTTGAAGCTGGTGGATCTGGTCGTTTCAGCTATTTCCAGGTATTTCCAGGATTACGAGCAGCAGGAATCAGACCGAGTCGTTTTCTTTTTCTCACGTTTTCTGCTTTTCTTCTGCGAGCTTGAAGAACTAAACGTCTTCCAAACAGAAAGCTGCTCTCTGGTTTGAAATGGATCCAGATAATCAGACCTGATGCAGAGTTCAGGCGACCCGGAGTCGAGCTGAAGCAGATTACGAACAGCTGGGATGGAAAAACAAAAAGAGCAGTGACCGATTCATTTTTCATCCCGTGAAGATGAGAATCAGCGTCGGCCTCCGTCGGTATCAGACCGTCGACCCTCAGAAACAAGAACCTGAGGCTGGAAACAGGAGAGAAGAAGTTCAGGACACAACTAATAAAAATAAACATTTAGAGTAAACTAGTTTAGATGAAAAATCACAATTTGAAGAAGACATTTGGTTGATTTCTTCAACAAAACTGCAAAACACGTGATTCATTCAAGGAAATTCAACATTTGTTCTTAAAGATTTTATAATTTAATAAATATCTAAAACCTCTGAGCAGCTTTTCAAGTTCAGAGATGGAAACAGTCCAAGGATGTCGGATATAATTCAGCATTAAAAGAAACTCTGATGAAATATGTTGAATTTTAGGCTCATAATTGTTTTTTTCTTCTGTTGGTGACTGAAAGTTGAACATTTTAATGGTTTTTACAAGTTTTCCCGTCAAACAAATTGGGTCATTTATCATGAATTTTCCAAACTTTCAAATGAGACTTAAAGAATAAAACCATTTGTGTTAGAATACCAGAGTCAGGAGGTCCGGTTTGGTTCATTAACCTGAAAGTGGACATTTTTCTAGTTTCTCGCTCAGTTGTGTGGTTTCACTTTTTGTATTTTCTTTTCTCATCCAATCTGTCGACACATTTCAGCTTCAGACTGTTTGGATGTTTAACGTTTCTTTCCTCTGACCTCTGCAGCTACCTGGCGGTGACCCAGTTCAGCCCGATCCACGCCCGGAAGGCCTTCCCCTGCTTCGACGAGCCCGTCTACAAGGCCACGTTCTCGCTGAGCCTCCGCCACGACCCCCAGTACACGTCGCTGTCCAACATGCCGGTGGAGAGCAGCTCGCTGTCGGACGAGGACGGCTGGACCACCAACCGGTTCGCCCGCACGCCGCGGATGTCCACCTACTACCTGGCCTGGGCCGTGTGCAACTTCACGTACCGCGAGACGCAGAGCGACGCCGGCGTCACGGTGAGGACGGCGGTCGGGTTTCTCTTTGGCACGCGGAGCAGAAACAGTAAAGCCACGAAATAACAACCGTCCTGTAAATCTTATGATCCCAACTTAATTATTTCCTCTCGTGGAGCCGAGAGCCGAAGCGCTTATTTATTTTTTAAAGCCTCCCGCTGCGATCTTTATGTAACGCTCTCATTACCAACCAAACAGCTGATTCTCAGTCGGCCGCTGCTCCTCCTCATCATCCTTTTACTTCTTCTTCTTTTCTTTCTCTTCATCTTCTTTGTTTCTTGTTCTCCGTTTACTTAATCGTCTTGTATTATTTTTGTTCTACTTTTCTTCCTCTTCATTTCTTCTTCACCGACTATTTCTTCTACTTCTTTGTCTCCTTTATCGTTTTTTCTTCTTCTGTTTCTTCTTTTTCTTCCGACTCTTAATTTTTACTTCTCCATTTCTTCTTTGTGTTTTCTTCTTCATTGTTCCGTCGTCTCCTTTCTCTTCGTCTCCATTTCTTCATCATCTTGTATTTTTTTATTCTGTTTCTTCTTTTTCACGACTTCTTCGTCTCTTCTTCTTCTTTGTTGCTTCTGCTTTGTCTTTCTTCTCTTCTTCTTCTTCCTCTTCATTACTTCTTCGTTTCCTCTTCAGCTTTTTAGTTTTTACTTCTTCTTTTACTATTTCTTCATCTCTTCTTCTTCTCCTGCTTCTCCTTCATTTCTTCAGCGTTTTTATTTCTTCTTCGTCTTTCTTACTGTTTCGTCTTCTTCTGCTTCTATTCTTCATTTCTTCTGTTTCTTTTTCTTCTTCTGACGCCTCTTCGTTTGTTTCGTCTTGTTTCTTCATCATTTTGTCGTCTTCTTCGTTTCGTCTCCATTTCTTTATCATCTGGTATTTTTTTAAAATTCAGTTTCTTCTTCTGCTATTTCATCGACTCTTCGCCTTCTTTGTTTCTTCTTCTACTTCTTTTTCTTTATTATCTTCTCTCTCTTGATTTATTCTTCACCTTTTTTATTTCTTTTTCTTCTTCTACTTCTTTGCCTCTATCATTTTTCTTCTTCTGCTTCTATTTTCAGTTTCTACTTCCTCATTTCTTCTTCTACTGCTTCATCGATTCGTCGTCTTCTTTCTCTTCTTCATTTCTTGATCATCTTGTATTCTTTTAATTCTGCTTCTTCTTTTCATTACTTCTTCTCCTTCTTCGTCATTTCTTCGTTTTGCTTCTTCAACTTCTTTATTTCTTCTTCTTTTTGTCTTCTTCTGCGGTTCTTCCATTTCCTCTTCTTCTTTCCTGTCGTTCTTCCTGCTGTCAGTTCGTCTCGCGGCAGAAACTCAGACGTGGATAAAACCTGAAGCGTTCGAGGCCGAAGCGCCTCACGACTGTTTCTTACTTGATTAAATCCTCGTCTGTGGGATTAAACGTCTGAATGCGATCAGCGGCTGCACGTTCAGGCGCTAACCGGCGTAATGAAGCCGTGATTGGTGAGTAATTGATTCGCATTTGGAGCCGACGAGAGGAAAGAAATGAAGACGGGTTTCATTTTACCTGATTAGCAGCCAGAAGCCGTGATGTAGCCGCTGAAAGTCCGTTAGCTCGACGGATTCAGAAACCAGCTCCAGTTGTCTTAAAGGAGGCCTGAGGTGGAGTTTACAGATGTTCTATAGATGTTTTACAGATGTTCTGTAGGGAACAGTGGACGTAGTATCTGTGTTTTCTCTGGAGAATGGAGCAGAACCAATAGATGGAGCTATAAAAACAGACATTAGACTGAAATCAGAGGTTTTTGTCGTTTATAATGTTGATTGATCGAGTCTCTGGTGACCAAAGACAAAGGTTTCAGTTTGGAGGCTCAACTTTTGGAGTCATTTCAGGTCAGTTTTGGTCACGTTGGATGGTTTCTTAGTGATTTGGGGGTTTTTTTGGGGGTTGTTTTGGATGTTTTATGAGACATTTTGGACGAATCCGTCCTCGTTTTGGACACATTTTAAGTCACTTCAGAGAGTTTTCAGGTTGAACTGCAGGCAGTGTTTGAAACATGAAGATGGTTCAGTATCTACAGGATGAGGAGAGAAACCAACCACAGAGAGACACGAAACAACAAAAACTGGACACAAAAAGCCAAAACCACCCGACTTCTACGGCTGATGTGCAGAATTTCGAAAATAAACAAAATATTGTCCATAATGACTCAAAAATTGTCATTTTGAACCATTTTAAAACTAGTTTCAAGCAATTTTGGAAACTTTGGATACTCTGGACACGTTTCAAGTTAGTTTTAGACAAATTTTGGTCATTTTGGACAAAAATGGGACTAAAAAATGGTCCAAAACAACAAAAACCTCCTTGAAGTTGACTCAGTGTCATTTTAACTTGTTTAAAGTCATTTTGGACACTTCTTAGTTTATTTTGGACAAATCATGATTCAGTTTGGATGTTTTTATGTTGCTTTGGACAATTTTAGACTGAGAGGGAAAAAATCCAACCTCCTGGATCCATAAATAAATGCAGCAAGTTGTTTGAGATACATCCAGCTGATGGTGGAACATCTTTCTACATCTGATGGTGGAACCTCCATTTTCCTCCATTTCTGCAAAACAAATAACCAAACGTTCCACTTTTATTCAGATTTCTGAGTCCTCTCTCCTTGTTTATGGTTGTTCTGATTCCTTTGAGGTGCAGGACTTTATATTGTTGTAGAAAACAAGCCCACATTGAGTAGAAATGCGACAGGAGCAAAGAACCTGAGACGCTGCTGCTCGGAGTTCAAAGCTGATATCAAAGCAGAATCTGAAATCTGGACGCTTCGACTTGTTTCCATGTTTTAGTCGTTCGTATTGACCTACATTAACTGGATCTGTTCAGTCGGTGTGTTTGGGGTTGAACCCAAAGGCCCAGGTTGAGGTGCATCCTGGGAAAAGCCCCCCAGGTTCTGGTGTTCTAAAGGATCAGAACCAGACGGACGGAGCGTCTCTGAGGCAGCAGCAGCTTCATCATCTGGAGATAATGAGGCGATGATGCCAGAACAAAAGCCGTCCGTCACGTTGATGAAGCGTCGCGTTCACGTGAAAAACGGCGTCTGGGCGTCGCGTCGGGCCGCCGCTCCGTCTTTGTTCAGACGGCTGATAAGTCGTTAATGCGTGTAGGTGAGATAACGAAGCTGCTTTCTGGGGATGAGGCGCTAATAAAGACCTGAACTCCAGATAAGAGCAGATAGCAGATAATTAACTGGTGTCCTCGCAGGTGGCTTCATCACTTCTTTATTCCCGTTATGAGCCGAGCGAGTAAACCGGCGTCCGTCAGGAGGACGAGAGGTCCGAACACGAGCCGGATGTCGACCGGATCTGGCTGCTGATGGCGGATGAAGGCTGGGTTTGGATCTGAAACAACACCTGAACGTCCTCGATGCAACGTAGACAAGTTCATACTGACGGGTTTAAGTGTTGAAGCTGCTGATTTCCCATCATGCTTTGGGGAAACATTCTGTGCATTCACTAACTGATGCTGCAGGTCTTGTTTCATTCAGCCGATATTTCTAATAAAGTATTCAGGAACTAAGAGAACAATATAAAAACCCTCCAAGAACCCGACTCAGCTACTAAATGGAGTTGAGTTATTGAAATAAAAGTTCCAGCTTTGGTCCCTTTACATGAAACATTCTTATATCTGATGCACTTTGATTATTGAACCTTTAAACTGAAAAACCCAGAAAGGTTTCGTTTTTAAAATTTGCCAAAATTTGGGCCATTTATCAGCCAGAAACTGTAAAATCATTGAGTTTCAACTCTCCGATGGTCCTTGAACTAATCACGTGCATTTCAGCAAAATGAACCAAATCTGAGCCTAAAATATTGTGTAATTTTCGGTTGATCTGCAGAAAGTGTTTCCACAGAGGAGACGACAAGAGAGGCTGAGAGGAAAAATCAACAACACAATAAGACACAAAACGACCAACGAGACACAAAAAAGAAGAACTAAGGAAGGCGAAGACACGATCGACAGACGTTAGAGAACCGCAAAGAGACATAAAAAACACAAACAAAACACAATGCAAAGAACGCAACTAAGAGACACAAAACAACCAGAAAGACACATGAATAGAAATAAAACAACCAAAACGAGACACAAAAGACAGAAAATAGATGCAGAGAGACAAAATAACAAAGAGACAAACCAGAACCAGACAGATGCATAAATGGACATAAAACAACCAAATACACAAAAAAAACACCCAAAAGAGACACAAAGAGACAGAAAACTAACAGAGAAAACCCAAAATCAGCACAAAGAGGCCAAAAAAACCACAAAAAACCAGCAGAAAGACACATGAATGGACACAAAACCACCAAAAAGAGACCGAAAGGATTGTCAAAATCATCCAAAAGAGACATAAAAAGACCTAAAATCAGCACAAAGACGACCAAACAGTCGTGGTCCAAACCTTCAGAACCTTGTGAGCAGCTTTAAGGACAGTTTGATGATTAAAGACTTTAACTCTGATCATTGAGGATCATTTGGACCTTTGTGTGACTATAAACAGTTAAATCATCTTTTCTGACTCGTTTCCAGGAACCCGTTGGTCCGATGAACTCGTCCAACCAGAACTCGTGTCCGTGAATAATTCAGACGTTGAAGAACCGGAGCGTCGGCGGCCTTGAGCCGGTCCGTCCTGCGGCGCCGCTCGGTTCTTTGTTTGTGATGTTGGTGTCTGAAGCTGTGGATCTCCGTTTTCCCGTCACGCCTCTAACGAGCGAGCGGCGGATATGCAAACGCACGCCGCCGCCGCCGCCGCCTTACGGCACAAGGACGGACTCGTGCGCGACCTTCTTCCTCCTCCTCCTCGTCTTCGGTGTAATTACAGCTCATCCATCTCGGCTGCCAGGAACTCAAGGACGCCACAAACACAGCGTTCCTCGCAGCTCCTCGGCTCCGCTCATCATTTTGGGCGCTTTAATGACGAATCATATCTGGGTCATTTAGAAGCAGCCGAGGCGCCGTAATGAATACATCAGGCTTCATT